ATGCGGTCCATGTCATCATCTCCCTGCTCCTCGTAGTAGTACTCATCGCAGAGGGGGCAGAGCAGCGGGGCCTGCCACTCGCCCGGTTCGGGTGGGAGGTGGTTTCCGATGGCGATGGGAGGGAAAATGATCGTTTTCTCCTCACCCTTCAACTCCGGCTCTACCTCCGCGTCTAGTCCCCTTGCTGCGGTCTGTCCTGGTGTGGTCTGAAATCTTGTGTTACTGCTTCTGTCTTCGAGCTCAACGGCCGAAGCGTGTCCTGGAATAGGAGACGAATTATTAGTATGAGAATGGGAGCGAGGGTGAGTAAACCCTGTAGCGGCCCAGTTTTCTAGCATGCTTGCTGGTGATGTTGAGGCATGCTGCCGCGCGCTTGGCATTGAACGTAAGTCTTTCCATACGAGGAACCCATCGCAGAAGTCGCAAACAAAGGCAATGTCCCGATTCCCAGGTCCTAGTCGTTGAAAATTGCCCGTTGAATTGCAGGCGGCAATCTCTCCCTTCAGAGTCAAATCTGGCTGTGTTATCGTTGTCGTTGTCGTTGAATTTTCCCCTTCTGGATGCGGTTGCGGCTGGGAAGGTTGAGAGGGATGAGAATGATGTCGCTGCTGAACCCGCCACACCATTAAAGCACCTAGACATCGCGGTCGCGAGGTAGATCCCTCAAGGTCATCGTGAATGCGCCGCACTACCCTGCATTGTGCGCGGTGAAGCTCCCGCCTCAACCACCGCGTCTCGGCTGCCCATTCCGGTTCTATTGGCCCACCAGCTCGTACCCAGTACTTGAAATTCTGGGAGTGCTGCTGGAATCGGGTGCACAGTTCGCGCAGTTCGTCAAGACTGTCGGCTGTGATTTGTGGTTAGTTTTAGGATATGATATTGGGCAAAGCCCGGTTGCCTACGTAGCGACCATTGTGAGAATTGAGATGTGAGCACCGCAAAGAAAGCTTAAGAACGAGCCAGCCGTCACTTGACTGATGGCGGGGGGGTTCGTTGGCATCTCGCTCATCAGCACTACTGGTCTACCCAGAGAGAAGGCCTAATGCGTTGGACAACCGACAAGCACCCAGGTCCGGTCAACAAGCAAACAAGCAAACAAGCGATGTAATAACACATACCCTGTTGGTCATTTTCGTAGTAAAAGCGCCCATTGACGAGCGCAGGGAGCTCCTGGAAGTCTCGTTTCGCCTCATCGAGGGTTTCTTCGAGTAGGCGTAGCTGTTCGAACTCGGGCGACTCCCATGTTCGCTTGTCAGCGAACATGAGGATGCGTAGAGCATCCTGGATCGAATTTGCGATGATGGCCAGCAGTGATCCCACCGTGTGGACGACTACCCTATCGTCGCCGCTCATGTCCGTGCATACACAGAGACCAAGCAACCGGCGGCGATAGCAGCCGGATTTTAGGCTGCTCCCCTTCTCCTGTGCTCTTCTGCCTCGTTTTTGTTTCAGTGATCAGATCTGGTTGTTTAGATACTGTTTGAAGAAGTATATATACTCCGGTAAAAGCGTTGCGATGAAGCGTGGTCGCCGTCTTTGCCGTTTGTGTTGATCTGTTTCACCACGCATGCACCATCGCCAACCGCATACGGGTAGTTAGGTACACTTAAAGTAGGTACCTACGTAATGATCTGGCGAGAACGAGTGGGGGCGCTCGAATCCAGGTACGAGTTGCGGATAGGTAGGACTTGTAAGCTAGGATGTTGGGCGGCCTCAGTTCTTGTTCTAATAGCCCCGGCCGCAAGTCATTGACCTACTCGTCTGCCTTATCGCGGTGGATAATAACCACAAAAGGCTGTATTAATGCGGCGATTTCCGAGACTAGAAAGGAGTCTGCGCATAGGTAGCTCGGACTTGAAGGAAAAGTCGATTTGAGATGTGAGGTGTTGGTAAAGAGACATGGTTTTCCGTTAGAGCCGTGTCTTGGTGGTTTACCGGGTGCTGTCGATAGGTACATTTAGGTTGTTTCCAAATCAATGATTGGCATTTCTCTTGGCAATACCTACATAACGCTAGGTAGGTACCTACCTCACTACAATGTCAGACCGTGCAGGTACGTACATATTCTGTATATACCTACATCGTATCCACTCCAATGGCCCCATTCTAAAATACATTAGCGCGAGGGGGGGGGGGGGGGGGGTAAATGAGTAAATAACAGAGATTTAAACCCAATAAAGCAGGATAA